ATTTGTTGGCTACAACTCTAATGTGTGCAACAGGTGAAGTGAGAAACCCGTCTCTATCCTGCTGTCCAACATTTGAACTGAAGAGCACAATCTTAGCGAGGTTGGGAACGTACAGTCGTCGAAGACGCCGGCGTGTGCCAGCAGCAACGTGACCAGTTTGGGGTCCTTGTCCAGCTGCATGGCGTGCTTGCTCTCGTTGGAAAGCAGAGTGCAAACGTTAACAGCGAAGTCCACTTCGTTGGGTAGGCCCGAAAGGAGAGACAGCACCAGTTTGTTGTAGTCACACGGCTGAACAAAATCCGAAGACAATCCATAGCTTTGGCGGAGATAGTCTGGGAAGAAATAAATATCTTGGTGTTAGTGTTATAAAATCTAGCATTGAAATGTCAGTGAAGTGAGAGATGCGTCTTCTTTAACTTGTTCTTTGCTGCAGCTCTTCATTTGATGCCGTACACCTACCTCAACAGTTACTGAACAAGTTCCAGCAGCACAGTTACTAAATAAATGGTTGCCAAAACATTGCTGAATACCATTTTAACTTTATATCACAGACATCTACATACTCCTAAACTGTCCAACACACAGCTCATAAATTGAATTTAATCACTTAACAAATTTCAGTACTGTACTAGAACAGCCCCTTAATACATGTCTCAAAACTGGGGAAACGCATACAGTACTGCCAACAAGAAGAAGAAAAGAAGCATTACAATACTGCCCACTAACGCAAAAGTAAACACAAATGGCCATAATGTACACAGTGTAATGCTAATGATGTGAAACATGAACCACTGTCATGGCATTTGAACTTAGGATTGTCTCTGGAGGAGATAGAGAAGCAAGCATGATGAAGCTTGCTAATGAAGCAAGAATAGACAAACACTGTAGAGGAGTTTGGATTTTAAGTTATTACTGCAACATGTGGCTATCAACAGAGCTGCAGAACAAGAGGAAAGCCTTTGGTTGCTTTAGTCTGTTCCCTCACTGTAGTACTACCGTTGCCTCAGCACACCTTCAGCCGGTTTAACTCAGATTTATTTTTCCTTTAACTGAATTTAAGCAAACCAAATGGGGCATTAAGCTGTTCAGTGAAAGCTGTCTTTAGTTCAAATTAGTTTGATGAGCCGTGTCTTGTCTGACTGAGGAACGTGAATGTTCTCTAACTTTTAATTGTGTTAGTCTCTGACTCAGTCAACCTCCATGATGGGCTTTTTATAATTAAAAGACTTCTAATCCTAAATGCTAGAGAACCCAGTGTGGGGGGGAAGCATGACTTGAATATTATTCAGCAGCTCAAAATGACAGATGATCCAGCCTGTGAAAGTGCAATCATTTTGTCAACAAAGACCTAAGTTTCCTCCCATCCTACGGTTTGATTTTCAGCTATCTGTCATTTTGTGTGCATAGGTGTCATTCCCCCCCCCCATACAGTGGATATTTCAATTTGGTGCAGGATCTTAGTAGACTGCTGCCTCTGGAAACCAATCATAAAGCAGACAGGAGTCCTGCTGAGTGAATTTGATTTCCATGCTGAAAAGGTTTGTGCAGGCAAATGTAATTCAGCCGGGTTGCTATTACAGCAGCAA